GCAGTGGAAGTGGCCTTAGGGGAAGAGTGGCAGCCAGCCTGAAAGGTTTGCGTGTCTTTCTCCTGCCTCCCCGTCCCCTGCTTCCTTTGCGATGGAGCCCTGGTTCCAGAGTGCAGGCCCTGCCAGATGGCTTCCGCCCCTACTTGGCCCTCCAGTTTTAGACTTTAAGGCTTTGCTCGGCCCTCTCCCCACTCCCTCCTTCCTGCCTCCACCCTGAGTGCTCTCCCTGCTCCTACCTACCCACCAGCCCCAGGCTAACAGCCTCCCAGTCCTCGAGGGTCTGCTCCAGCCCATGTGCTTCTTGGTCCTACCCAAGTCTCCGCGGTCTCCCTGCCTCCCTGAGGCCTTGAGTCCTTCCAGCCTCTCACCCACAGCAGGCAACTTGCGTTCTGTTACATCCCTCAGAGGAGACTACTTCTCCAGGAGGGTCTAAGGTCTTGGAGGGAAGGACTGTGCCTTTCACTCTTTCCATCGCCTCATTCTCAGAGTCCAGGGTGCTGATAGATCACTACCCCGTCTCTCCCAGAGCCTCTGGCATTCCCCCTTCATGCTTTTTCAGGAATGCCCCCGCCAAGGTGTCAGAGTGCTGGGAGCACAGGACTGAGGGCCTCTCTCTGGGCCCCTTCTCACCCTAGGCTACCCCAGGACTCCTATCCACTGGGAGTCAGGCTGAAGTTCCTCCTCTTGGAAGCCCTTCTCAGCCTCAGGGCTCCGCCCTTTCCTCCCTCGCCCCAGGTTGAGTGTTTTCCCTCCCTGAACTGTGACCTTCTCCAGGAAGTAGGCGGGGTTCCCAGGGTCCTGCAGACAGCAGGGCCTGGGGCACCCCTAAGGCCCTTGCTGGTGGGGCATCCTGAGTTAGTTGCACACACACAGGATCTGAACTCCTTGAGACAGCCTCTGGCCCGGCATGGCCACTTCCACCTGGCTAAGTCTTGGTTTGCCCTTCTTCAAAATGGCCACAACCGCTTCCCCGCTGAGGCTGAGGGCTGGGCCACTGGGTCCCGCAGCACTGAGCTGACACCAGGGAGACTCAGTTAACGTTCGCTGGCTTCACCCTTCCTGGTCTGCTTTGGCTTCCCACCTTCATTTGGGTGGTGGTCGGCCCCAGCCCTGTTTTTGTTGTTAAGTCAAAGACATAAAGACCTTTAGTGTCAGTTGGCTTTGAGATTCTAAATCATTAAGAGCGAAAGAAAAGTCCTTCTTATCAGCTGTTAGACACACCAGTGGCATTCTCCTGGTTGCTATGGTGATTCTTTGACACCTCCTTCTCACAGATTAGAAACGCAGCCCATTTTTCGAAGTCTGGCTGCCCCCCATACCAGGACTTCCATCCAAGCAATTCCCACCCCCAAACAGGAAGAAGGGGTTGGCATTCCCTGGAGATTGCATTTTTTTGGCCTCAGCAGTCAGAAGTGAGCCTAACCTTCCTGTGTCAGGCCCGGGCTCAAGTTTGGAGGTGATTCCATTTGTTTGGACTTACGAGACAGGCATGGTCGAAACACCCCAGCCACGCGTCCAGGAAGTCTGCTTCTTTCAGAGGAAAATAATTGTCTCCCTGTTCAAAGTCTACTTCTTCCTTGAGTTTCCTCTAGTGTCAGCAAAGCTGTATGGAATTCAGTGGTACCCTGTGGCTTTGTGTTTGTCACACACACACACACACACACACACACACACACACACACACACACACACACACGTGGATGCACTGTCCTAACATGCCTCTGGTAACGGGACGTGGTGCTCAAGGTGGAATTTCACTCCCATGACAGTCTTGACCCTCCCTTTCCCACCTTCCTCCCATTCCCATGAGGCCTTCACACAGATTCATTCCTTTAAAGGTTTATTTCTAGAGAATTAAAAAAAATAATAATTTATGTGATTAGATAAATTAATTTCTGGGATGAGACATGATGACACAGCACAGGGCTTAACTTTCCCCTTTTCTTCTGGGTACTGCAGGTTGATGGGAGGCAGAAGAGTGAAACTCTGCTTTTCGCTTTATGGGGTGAAGACCCACACATCGATGCTTCCTGAAGGGCTGGGTGGTAGGCTCAGAGGAAGGACAAATCTAAGCTTCTTTTATAGAAAAGAAATAGCTCTTCTTCATAGCATTGAAAAAAAAAGTTAATCCACAGAAGCGCCGTCACACCCTCATTCCTAATGACCATAAACACAACATACCAAAGCACAAGCTCAGGAAGATGGAGTGGTCGTTTCTGGACATTTTACACATGGCACTTGGAGACTGCCTTGGGAAAGATACCTTCCCCAACAGAGGTCCCCTCTTGAGGCCAGCACTGTGGAGAGATGGGACATGAGCCATTAGCACAGCTGTCCAGATCTTTTGCTTTCTGAACTATGGTGACTACTACCTTTCAACCTGAAGAGAACACGTCTCCAAATTTCTTGGGTTTGGTTAGTCTCTCAGAAGCAGCCAGCTCCTTGGTCGATGGAGGGTACATTTCCTCCAGGAATCTGAGAGTGGAACATGTGGGTAGTCTGTGCTGCGGCCTTAAGGCCAGAATCCCAGAGGCCCTGCTAGAGCCTGTGACTTCGAAGCTGGAAGATTCTGGGGACCACCTGCAAGCAGGAAACTGAAACTCCTTGACGAGAGGCCCACAAGTTCCCTGGGAGCAGAGATCACATCTTGCTCACCCTGTGCCAGGTTCCTTCATGAAACTTTGGCCTGGGGCTCACTTTGAAGATGGAGTTCACTCTTTCAAGGGGTGATGGTTTTTGGTTATACATTTTTGATTAATCAAGAATAGACATTAGTTGCCTGTAAACTCGACTGACAAAGCAGCCAGAAAGCAAGTGGGTGAGACTCAGGAGAAGCTCAAGGAGGTTTTTCGTGATAAAAACTTATGTCAGCAAGGCTACAAGTGGCTCACTCCTTATGGTCCATGGCATGGACTGCAGTCTGGGCACACGATGACCAGGTGGAAGACTGACCAGGACTCAAGGTACCCGCCTGCACAGACTGCCAGGGTCACATCTGACTGAATGCCAGTAGAGTTTGATTGAACAAGGGCTGTTTGCTTAATCAAACGTGGCCTTAACATTCTTACCCAAAGACATTTGAAAGGCGCACCAAGCAAAATCCAGATTCCCAAATCACCAGACAGTTCTGAAGTCCAGTTCATGTTCCTTTTTTGACCCTCAGAAACGGCAGTTTCTGGGCCCAAGTGTCAGCCCAAAGGATTCACAGCTCAACATTAGTTCCCCTCAGAGGACAGAGAAGTGAGAAGGGACACATGTCTCTTCTGCTCCCTACTTCAGAAAGCCACATTTCTATGCTCCAGACCTGGGGTCCTTTTTACCCTGAAATCACACTCTTATAAGAGGCTATGAAAGTTCACACCCCAAAATGCAACTCATACCTGCATTATTTCCCATTGAAGAAGAACCAGAAGTCCCCCTCAGTGACATCGGGGTCACTGCCATAGTACCTATTAAACAAGGCCCAAAGCACAGCCTTTCAACCACTATATGAACTGAGACCAAGCCAGTCACAAGGCTGTTCACACACACAGGTGCAGGGTGGATGAGGAAGGGATGGTGGAAAAACCAGGCCCACACCCGGCAAAAACCAGAACCAAATTCCTGAACACTCCTAGCAGTGCAAAACTCCAGACAGGAGAGTATTTCTATAGGTCCTACGAAAATAAACTATCTTCTGTGCCTGTTCTTTAGCCTCATTCCATTTGGCTTGTCTCTGAAGGTTTTTCGGGCATCACATGGTCTTAGACAACTCTGAGGCAGGGGCGGAGAACGTGTTGCCTGTTTCTGCCTTGCTCCTGGGATGCCAGGATGTGGCAGGAGACAGCAGAAGGGAAGAGGGGAAGCTGCCTGGGCATGGTGTAGCAGAGCAGAGGGTGGGGTGGCCTGGGCCGTGGAGGAGCTCCCCAAAGGCCTGCTGCATGAGCCATTGACACACCTTGATTCTGAGCCTTTGGTCTGACTCTTAAGAGTCTCAGAACGTACCTTGTGTCCATCCTCAGAGTGCCCAGCCAGGGCAGTCATGAAGACTCGCACTAGCTCGACTCCAAGAGAGCAAGTCAAGGGTCTGTCAGCTTTCCCGAGAGACCAGGGCTCCTGCATCGCTCCTCCTCTTCAGAACTGGAGCCTACAGCCCCTCATTCTCCACACATGCGTTCCCCTTGCTTTTGCCACTGTATTTTCTCTAACTTCAAAAAAAAATTCAAATAGGTGCAGCACTTACAAGTATTTTATAAATATGGGAAGCTGTCAAAAGTTTAATATCTTCTAAAACCATGACATGGGCTAGGGGCTGCCGATCTTTTGAGGGCCAAAGCACCAACTTCTCCCCCCAGGCAGAGCTACAGGGTGAATGAACTATGAGATGTGGCAGCATACCATGAGGAGAAGCAGAGGATGACTGCCTTCAGTGGGTGTCAGTTTTGAAAACCATGTACCTTCATTAACTCCTGTCTTCCTGCCATGATTTCCTTCAAAGACTCTTGCTACCTGGCATTAGGATCTACCCCACAAGCCACCATCATTCATGCACCATCTTGGGTAAAGTTTCATATTAAAGATAAGTTCAAGGCCCTTAAATGCCCTTCCTAGGAGAGGTCTCTGAAAAGTGGAAAGAGGGGAAAAACAGGAAATTCTGGAAGAGTGACATCCAGAAGATGGACTCTGGAAATACAGTATGTCTTCACTTATGTGACAATAAGTAAAACTATCTTGTTAAAGATTCACATTGATTTTAGGATGCATATAGACAGAGCAAAAGTCATCTTGGGCCAGAGAACAGGTGACGAAGTTTTAAAACAGCTGCCTTTCAATCGTGAATTCTGGCCATTGCAAGTGCAGAGAAACCAACACGGGTCCTGAGGTGAGTCACAGAGGAAGTTCTTTGTTCCAGCAGAATGCCCACCCCAAACACGTAAGAGGGGGCTGTTGCACCTACCGTTATCTGGGAGACATGGATTTGTGTGGATGAATCTGTGTAAACTGAAACAGCCTCTGCAGGGTACGGAGCCCACGTGTTTTATTACAACCCCTGCTCGCCAAGCCCTGACAGCCTCCCACAACTCTGCCCTTTGGATTATGGAGGAAAAAAAAATAATCGTTCAGTTTTCTCAGCCATGGAATACAAGACGGGTTTAGATTGTACAAAGAGCTTACACACTGAGGCAAGAAAGCGTGCACAACAGAGTGGGAGTTTTTCATCCCGTGTGAGCCAGTGCTCGAGACACGGAAGGAGGACCTGGGTCACCCTCCCAGAGGCCACATGGGCATGTGTTTCTGGCTTTTATTAACCATGTCCAACTCCAACTTCCGTCTTCTCCTGAGGGGAAGAAGAGTATCTATGACATCAGTGGCTTCCTCCAAGTCATATATTTTTTTCCTAGTATAATTTCACAGAGAGGCCCAGGAGCAGGCCCAGAGTAGGACCAACAGAAGAAGAGTGTCTGAGAATGACATAATACTGACTTCTCTTTTTTGGTAACAGTCCACGAAACGTGCACCCCTCTCTCCTGAGACACAGCGAGGCATGAGGGGAGGTGGCGGAGGAGCTGTGGGTGGGACACTGTACCGTGTGACATCACGATCATGCAGCTGGTGTCAACAGGACACACGCGAGAACGAGCGCTCAGGGCTCCAGACTCGCCCCAGGGGGAGGCAGGCAGCTTTGCAGTCTGTCCCGTTCAGGCAGAGCCATCCCCTGGGGCTCCCACCGTGGTTCTGGCCTTAGCCCTCGTCCTCTCTCAGCTCCGTGGGTAAAAACTTATACTGCTGCTGGCGGATCTGGGCCAGTTTTTTCCTTGCTTCTTCTAGTTCTCGTTCTTTCTTTAGCATTTCTTCCTGGGCGGCAATGATCTAGAAGGAAAGCAACGAGCCTTATGAAACTAACACTTTTTAAAAGCATTCTGCTTTCTTCCCCCAACTGCTGTCGCGCGAGCTCCCGTGGCCCCTGCTACAGTGGGACACGGCCGTGCTCTGGGAGCAGCATTCTTAGCTCTGGAGACGAATGACCCTGGCCACTGATTCAACAGCAAACATCTACTGTATTTCTACACGGCCTGGACTCTGCTGTAAGCACGTCACACAACTGTCCCTGCACCTTCGTGGTGCCCCTGTGAAATATGCACTAATGAAAGTCCTATTTTTCCAATAAGAAACCTAAAGCAGAGAGGTGTGGGCTCATTCCTCTGCAGGCACCCAGCTAGTGGAGGGGGACCTGGTCCAGGTATGCTCAAAGCTGAAGGGGGTGCCCTTAACCACTAGATGGCCCTCATGGACTTATTTCACACTTCGAAGGTATGATCTGAGAAATATTAGCTGATAGGTATTGTGTGAAAAGTTAAGTTGTCCTCAAGAAAGCCAGTTAAGTTCCTTTCCCATGGATCTTTGCTAGGTTGATGAGTATTGCTATCAAGGTGGGTGAGAGTGCAGTATTTTCCAGACTTAGTTGATTGGAGATTCTTCAAGGAATGAGTGCAACACACTCTAGGATGGATTTAGAGTCTATAATACTCAGTAATCCATCAGAGAAACAAAGAACTGAGTACCACATGTTCTTACTCATAAGTGGACCCTGAACAATTATCATGATACTATAAGAAAGGGGTTGGTAGTAGAGGGAAATTGCCAGGGGAAGGAGCAGGGGACACAATTCATCAATAAGGTACCTGATCTCAAACCAGGTGATGTGGGACAAAAGGGAGGCCCAAACTTTACCTGCACAATGACCATGTGTATACCTAACCCTGAATTGTACTCCACATCTTTTAAAAAAAAATGCTCTGGAGCCGGGCTCGGTGGCTCAGCCTGTAATCCCGTGCCTTTGGGAGGCTGAGGTGAGCGGTTTGCCTGAGCCCGTGGGTTCGAGACCCGCCTGGGCAGCAAGACCTCATCTCTACAATAAATCAAAAAATCAGCTGGGCGTGGTAGCACATGCCTGTAATTCCGGCTACTGGGAAGGCTGAGGCGGAAGGATCGCTAGAGCCCAGCAGGTCGAGGCTGCGGTGGCCGGGAGCGGCCACTGCACTCCAGTCTGGGTGACAGAGTGAGACTCCAACTCAAAAAAAAAAAAAAACAAAAAAACTGCTCTGGTAAAAACACATCCAGTGCACAGCCACACGGGAAATAGTTCAGGAGAGCTGGAAGGCAGGGGAGTAACTTCAGAGTTGCTGGTGCTGAGCAGTAAAACATTCTGTAGAATGGATTTATATTAACACATCAACAGGGGCAGGCCTGATCACCTGAAGCTTCCTCCCTATTCCCATGCGTGAGAGTGCAATCCTGAGTAAGCCAGAATCCCACCTATGCTTATACAAGTTCTGGGAGCGGGCAGGCATTCATTCTCTCGGTAGGGCCAAACGTCTGAGGTGGGCAGTGACTCCAAATGTATCATCTTATTTGAATGATAATATCATTGTTTTCCATTTTTGCTCCTCCCTTTTTCTCTAACAGAACCCTTAGTTTTTAGCTAGGAATATGCTTCTCAGAAAAGAATACTGCATTTCCCAGCCTCCTGTGCAGCTGGGTTGGCCATGTGACTCAGTGCTGACCAAAGGTAGGCAACCAGAAGTGATACATGCAACTTCAGGACATGTCCCCGCTCCTTCCCCCCTTCTGGGTAGATGGACAGTCTCGGAAGCCACTGAGTCATCCAGTACCAGTGGCCAAGGGCAACATCCCAAAGATGGCACATCCCCAGACTGCTTACACCCAGACTGTTACATGCAAGAGAAACACACTTTCATCTTGTTGGAGGCACTGTCATGTTGTATCTCTGTGAGAATCCAACACCCATCTTGGGAGTGAACATTATTCTGGATTTAATCACACACCTGAGCGATGCCCCCCACAAACTTTGTTTTCACTACAACATCGTCATCATCGGCTTTGCCAAATGCTGCCTTCTGGGCTGCACGAACGAGATTGTCAGAGGCTCTTTTCACAGCATTTCCTGCTGCCTGGAGAAGTGGGAACAAAGCACACATTCTGGCATTAGACACAGCCATTTAGGTCTGGCAGGAATGGACATGAAGGCACAGTTTATGAGACCATGAATCAATTTATCATCCAATTATAACACATAAGATCTCTAGCCAGCACGTATCCATGTTTGTCAATCCATCTATCGATTCTACCGATATCAGCACCTACCTCACCACAGGTTATTTGCAGATGGATGAGACAAAGTGCCGACCCCCAAGGAACACAAATGTTTGAGGGGAATTACGATCATGTAAATAAATGTGATATGCGCATTAACAGAGGCATAATCGAGGTCTGCCTCCTTGGTCTAGAAAACCAACTCCCCCTTTCCCCAACCAATTTAGCCTGTACTTGAGGACTTGGCTCAGATATCACTTTTCTTGTCCGACTTGGCCCTACCTACATTCTCTCTCGGTGCTCCTGGAGTGCTCTGTGCTGGCTTCTTTGCAGCCCTTACTACACTTGTGGCTGCCTGTCCTGCTCCTGGACAATGAGCAACTCGAGGGCAGGGGCAGTGGCTGAACTTTGCATCCCCAGCACCTGGCACAGTGGCTACTCTGGGTTGGTGCTGAGCAGAGGCTTTTGGAGGGAAAGAAGGGCGATAAGAACACTGGGGAGGGAGTATCCACCTCTGTGTGGAAGGGCCTTTACAGATGTGATTTTAGAGCCACAGCTGGACTTTACACCGTAGGCTGAAGGGTGGGGCAGCAGTTAGAGACAGGCAAAGAAACACTATTCAAGTCTGCTTTTTCACTAAGGCTGCACCCCGTACAGGTTCATTCTTTTTTTTTTTTTTTTTTTTTTGAGTTGGAGTCTCACTCTGTCGCCCAGACTGGAGTGCAGCAGCATGCTCCCGGTCATTGCAGACTCGACCTGCTGGGCTCTGGCAATTCTTCCACCTCAGCCTTCCAAGTAGCTGGAACTACAGGTGCATGCTACCACACCCAGCAAGTTTTGATTTATTGTAGAGATGAGGTCTCGCCAAGTTGCCTGGGCGGGTCTCAAACCCGCGGGCTCAAGCAATACACTTGCCTCGGCCTCCCAAAGTGCTGGGATTACAGGCTGAGCCACTGAGTCTGGTCCTTTTTTTTTTTTTTTTTAAGCAGGTTTTATTGAGAGGACAGAAGAGCTCCCACAGTGGGAGGAGACCCAAGGGGGTTGCCAACTTTTTCTTTTTTTGAGTCAGAGTTTCACTCTGTCGCCCGGGTGGGAGCGCAGTGGCATGCTCATGGCCACCACAGTCTTGACCTGGGGTCTCAGGAGATCCTCCTGCCTCTGCCTTCCAGGTAGCTGGAACCACAGATGCGTGCCACCGCGCCTGGCTAATTTTTTTAAAAAAATTATTGTAGAGATGAGGTCTCACTGTGTTGCTCAGACTGATCTTGAACCCCTGGACTCAGGCAATCCTCTCACCTCTGCCTCCCAAAGTGCTGAGATAACGGGTGAGCCACCATGTCCAGTCTGGCTTATTCTTAATGCTCATGAAACACGTCATGAAGGAATTTGCTCTCTGTCAGCTAAGGTTTGGAATTTTCTTCTAAAGGTGGTTAAAGCTTTATTAAACCTCTCATTCTTTGTTCAGACGTCCTTGGAGTCGAGAGCTTGGGCTTGAGAGTTAGCCATCAGTAGGTTGAGAGGAGTTCTTATTCCAAGTTAGCTGGCCATGTGGTTGGTCATCAACAGTGACCAATGGGGACCACGAGGGCTTCACAAGGAGTCAATGGGAAGCCAACTAATAACTGATAAATAGTCATCATGTGCTTATTTTCCAAAGAGTTTATAGGTCAGACGTCATTAGCCTACTTTTCTGATGTGAAAACTGAAGTTAAGGAACTTGTCTAAGATTCTGTAACTAGTAAGTTATAGAGATGGGACCTGAACATAGATCTGCCTAGTCCTAGAAAATCTGAGTTGTTCGTAAGGAAATCAGACATGACACTGCAGTGTCCAGTTAAATCAGTAATTATGATAAAGAGAATGACGCTGTGTTATATCTGTGCCAACCCTCAGGACTTAAAATGGTCCCTTCATATCCATTCTCCTGTCTGACCCTCAGAAGAGTCCATGTGGACATTTCTATCCCCACTTTGCAGATGAAGTCACTAAGGCCTGGAAAGTTTTCATGGCAGAAGTGGGACTTGAACCCAGGTCTCTCTTAACTCAGGATGTTTTCCTAAGGGATGTCCCCCAAACTCAGGAATCACATATTCATAGGCATGCAGCACCTCAATTTTCCCCTGGGTTTATCCCAGGACTCAGTGAAGGTGAGGGAGGTTGGTCAGAGAGAAACCCAGAGGGTCAAATAATAAAAATGCAAAGACAACAGGAGTTCTGAGTTTTGGTAGAATTGTTCAAATACTTTTGCCATTTATGATTCCTTCATAACTTATATAATCATATTTTTAGCAATATAAACAATCTGCATTCTAATGCTTATAATAATGAAAATCTATAAAATCAGAAGCAAACACAATGTCTAAAGTATAGGGACATTCTGGCATAATCAGTTGATGTAATATCATGCAGCCATTCAAAATGAGACTCATGGAGAATGGACCAGTTAGCTTTGCGCAGGGAAATGAACAAAGCCTTAACTTTGAGGAAAAAATACGTATGAGAAAGCGTTACGTGAAAAAGCAGAATGACTCTCGCTATGATTATAACCAGACAAAACTACTTTGTGTATAGATAAAAACAGGAACAGAAAACAACGTTAACATTTGGTGTATGAAGATGTTGAAGCCATGTGACTGTTTCATTCGAACATTCCTTTCATTGTGTTCCAAGCATTTTTATGATGAAGGCAGTCAGGAAAATGCATATGTGCTGGGAAGGACTTGACTGTCATCTTCGTGACATGCTCTTTGGGATCTCTCTGGGAAACCTGAGCAGAAGTTTCATATAAAGTCCTCAGTCCTCTCACTCCCTTCTGTGGCAAACTCTGAGTGAGGGCCTCCTTGGGGACGGGCGCGGTGTTGGGTGTGAGAGATGCAGATGAAGAAGAGGCACCTGCCTAGGAATCTCACAGCCTTATCATAGACGGACACAAAGAGAATGCAATGATGGGGTCTGTAAGAGTAGTCTGGCCAGGGGCTCTGGTAGGACAGAGGAGGGACTGACTGTTATAAGCCCTGGGAGTCGTAGGGCACTTCTCGGAAGAGGTGATTCTGAAGATGGCTCCATAAAGGATAAGCAGGAGTTTGCTGGGCTGGGCTGGTGGGGAGAAGGGCCAGGACATTCTAGGTGAGTGAGGGCCCCAGGGCATGAGGAGACCAGGAGGCACACGTGGTGGGGCAGCAGTGGAAGATGCATGGATGCACACGGTAGAGGATGGGGTTGGAGGTGGACAGAGCTGGCTGATGGAAGGTCTGGTGGGTCATGCCAAGGAAGTGAAGCTGTCCCTCCTGGTGACACTTACCCGCTCCAACAGGAGTATTTTCCCACCAGCATCAGTGACCATTACCTGTAGCCGCCTCATGGCCTCTGAGTCCTGGTCGGCCTTCACCTTGCAGGCCACAAGCAGCTGAGCCGTGGAGGCGGCGACCTGCTTGGCGGAGGAGATGAGCTTCTCTTCACTGGCGTGTCCCTGGACAGAGGCATTAGCTGCCTCACAGAGACTGCTGGTTGCAGCCGCCACCATCCGGGCCTAGGGACAGTCAACAGAGAAGTGACCCAAGGCCCACACCTCCCTTATAGACTGACTGTTCTACAAATTCTTAGGTCAAGACACAATCATGTCCATCTATCTGTTCACTGACAGCAAAGGCCTTTATATCAAGTAGAGGTAACTGACAATTGGGGGGACCAGATTTCCCAAGCCACAACCTGATGAGCTTCTGCGGTACCTCTATGTCTGAGAGGCTCTTGGCAAGAGCCGTTTCCCTTGGGGATTCAAAAAGCAAACGGGGAGGAAGGAGAAGGCAACTCACGGCAGAAATCAGTCCCTGTGACCACTGTCCGTCATCTGCGGCGTTGGCAGGAATGGAGCCCACCTAGAGATCGGAGTCAAGAAACCTGCAATGAGGGTGGGCAGGTAGGCCCAGTGGCCTGCAGCCCCCTCAGCCCTGCCTTGCCCTGGAACTAGACTCACAGCACTGCTCCATGACTGCCACCCACAGCACCGACCTGAGAGGAAGTGCCTGTGGAGGTAAGAGGGGTGTATCTCAACCCGAATATGAATTTGGGATCTGGCAGCCATGACAGGTATCCCATCAGGGCTTGCTGAAGGTCAGGCCAAGCCACAAGGGCCTACATATAATCCTTCGGTTCACTCAAGTCCAGCCGACTCTCCTTTACCAACTTTTTCAAGGCCTGAACCTGTAAGTGCTTCGGAGGACAGGCAGGAACTGGGCTATACTCGAGTTAGATTCTCTGGTATCCTGCAACATGTTTGGCACATAGTCAGCCCTTTATCAATGTTGAAATAAACTGAAAAGTTTAGGTAGGATGTTTTATTCAATGATCCATTTGTGGTCTTTACGTGTTGACCAGTCCATGAGAACTCGGGTGCACAGGAAAAGACCAGCACCCTGCTGGGCATATAGGGGACATTTGAGAAGCATGAAGAGACAGCATGAGTGCCATATGGGGTGGCAGACACGTGTCAATATTGAACTACATACCACATGATGGCTCAGAAAGGGTTAAAGTATGTGGACTGGACTAAGACACGGCTGAGCTCACAAGAGACTTCCTGGAGGCCACTGGTCAGGCACAACTTCTCTTCTGTACAGTAAGGCCCCTATATACAAATGAGTTTTGTTCCAAGAACACATTCATAAGTCTAATTTGTTTGTAAGTCCAACGAAGTTTGCCTAAGCTAACTGTACTGTAATAGGTTTATATAGTTCTTATATAAAAAACAAACAAAAAATGGAGAAAATATTTTTACTTTTATAGTACAGTACTTTGAAAAGTATAATATATCACCACTGCTTTTGCACTGCTTCTGGACACTCTGGGCTTGAAATAAAGATTCATATAACTGTACTCTATATAGTACTAAGTACACAAAAACACAACCACTTGTTGGGGATGCACACATGTGACAATGTACACCAGACACAGGAACTACCTCATATGACTGGACATGTTCAAGTCTTTGAAAGTTCATAACTTGAAGGTTCGTATGTAGGAGACTTACTATTCTACAAATTCTTAAGTCAAGACACAATCATGTCCATCTATCTGTTCACTGATAGCAAAGGCCTTTTAATATCAAGCAGAGGTGACTGACAATTAAGGGGACCAAATTTCTCAAGCCACAGCCTGACAGGCTTCTGTGATGCCTCTACATGTGAGAGGCTATTCTTGGTCAGTTTGGATAGGATGGCTCCAGGCTATATGGGAATAACAGGACATATGGAGTAATTCATACCCAGAATTACTAATGTACTATTAATCCTCTGAATCATTAAGAACAACGATGCTTTTATGCTGGTGCAGATGGAATGGGTGACTGGAGATGGAACAGACTGAAGAACTCTTAGTTGAAAACCAGACTGGCCTTGTGACCAACATCTAAGGAAAGTGCTCGCTGCCGAGTTGGACAGCATTCAGCTCAACAGTCCTAGCAAACACACGGAGTCCTGTGGCATTGGAAAGTGGTAAGTAAGGCCTCTGACTGTGGTGCTTACAGAGCTGCCCACCAGGACACATGACAGTTCACATCTTCAAATGGCCTAACGTACAGTGGGCATATAAATGTCTTCTCCAGGCCCGCTGCCTGGAGTGGGATGCTTTCCCTAACAAGAAGCTGATGGGAGGCCCAGAAGCCAAGCCTTTTATTCTGTTAATCATGTTTAAGCAAACAGTTTTAGTCAGTGGGGCAAAGATTGGCAGTTGGGAAGGGAAGTCGGAGCATGTGCTTCCTTGGTCAGGCCTGTATGTAGCTCTTTCCCTTGGCCCTCGGAGGCTCGCTCTCTGTGAGTGTTCCCCATTTGGCCAGCTGGCTTTACCCACCTTTCCTTGGGCCACCAGTTCCCTCTGGGCTGCCGAGGCCGATTTGACCAGGGCACTTGTAGCCGCAGCAATGGATTTAGCAGCTTCCAAAATCTGTTCCTCAAAATCCAGGGTCTCATCCGCTTGCTATAACCAAAACAAAACAGCATCACATGCAATTCACATCCACAAAGACTCTTCTACCAAACTTCTTACTGCTTCCTCACCCGGCTCTTAAACTGCCTATCGTTTTTCGTTGACAAGCCACACCAGGGTAGAGAGGCCTAAGTTGTCAGAATGGCTCTTTACCTGCTGTCCCCTCCCCACCCCCCAAAAGAACCAGCTGACAATCTACACAAATTTTAAATCAGGAAATTCTAAGACAGATTACTTTTCCAGACCACAATCTTTAAAGATATGTAAGTTCACGGTGAGTAAAATATACACAGTACATACAGATAGTTCCACCAACATCAACAAACCAAAATAAAAAAAAAATCAACACTCAAAATCAAGAGTGGGTCATGGCACACTCTTCCAGAGCTTCAGACTCAAAACTGGGTTGAGGTGACTCACAACTGCAATCTCAGCCCTTTGGGAGGCTAAGGCAGGAGAACTGCTTGAAGCCAGGGGTTCGAGATCAGCCTGAGCCACAGAGTGGGATCCCATCTCTACAAAAAATAAAAAATAGCCAGGCACAGCAGCATGCCTATAGTCCCAGCTACTCAGGAGGCTGAGGTGGGAAGATTGCTTGAGCCCAGGAGTTCAAGGCTGCAGTGAACTATGATTGCACCACTACACTCCAGCCTGAACAAGAGAGAGAGAGAGCCTGTCTCTAAAAAGAAAAACAA